TTCCAATATTAAGGCTTACTATATAACTGCTGTAATCAAACGTATGGTACTAGCAGAAGGAATAGTTACAAAGATCAATGGTACAGAACATAGATCTCAGAAATGGAGCCACACAAATGTGCTCAACTAATTTCTGATAACGGTGAAAAAGCAACTCAATGGAGGAGGGATAACTTGTTGAAAAAAATGATGATGGAGAACTAGACATCCATAGGCAAAAAGTTAAACCTTGACCTGAAGTCTCACATCTTCTACAAAAAGGTACTCAAAATGGATTACAGATTTAAATGGAAAATGTAAAACTATAAAAGTTCTAGAAAAAAAACATAGGAGAAAATCTTTAGGACCTAGGACTAGGTGGCGTTCTTAGACTTAACACCAAAAACCAAAACCAACAAAAAAACAACAACAAAACCCCCTAACAATTCATAAGATTTAAAAAAATGAATAAAGGCTAGACTTCATCAAAATTAAACTTTTCTCTGCAAAAGACCCTGTTAAAAGGATTAAAACACAAATTATAGACTTGGAGAAATTATTTCTTTAAGTCACATATCCAACAAAGCCCTATCTATTGGGTTGGCCAAAAAGTTCCTTAGGTTTTTAAGTAAAAATAAAAGACACAGTTTTCATTTTCATCAAGAACTGTACTGAACAACGTATTCACCGTTTTGTTCCACTACCTTCTGCCATTTTTCAGGCAACTTCATAATTCCACCTTCCCAAAACTTTTTATCTTTTTGAGCAAAGAACTGTTCCAGGTGCCTTTTACAGTCTTCCAGGGAATTGAAATTTTTTCCATTAAGGGAATTTTGTAAAGACTGAAATCAATGGAAATCCGAAGGTGCAATGTCTGGTGAATATGGTGGGGGAATCAGAACTTCCCAGCCAAGCTGTAACAGTTTTTGCCTGGTCATCAAAGAAACATGCAGGGCTTCCCTGATAGCACAGTGGTTGAGAGTCCGCCTGCCGATGCAGGGGACACGGGTTCATGCCCCTGTCTGGGAAGATCCCACATGCCGCAGAGCGGCTGGGCCCGTGAGCCATGGCCGCTGAGCCTGCACGTCCGGAGCCTGTGCTCTGCAACGGGAGAGGCCACAACAGTGAGAGGCCCGCATACCGCAAAAACAAAACAAAACAAAACAAAACAAAACAAACATGCAGTCTTGCATTATCCTGATGAAAGATTATACGTTTTCTGTTGATTAATTCCAGACGGTTTTCATTGAGTGATGCTTTCAGTTGGTCTAATTGGGATCAGCACTTGGAATTAATCGCTTGGTTTTCCGGAAGGAGCCCATAATAGAGGACTCCCTTCCAATCCCACCATATACACAACATCACCTTTTTGGATAAAGACCGGCCTTTGGTGGTTCACTCTGCTTGCCCCATGATCTCTTCCATTCCACATTATTGTACAGTATATATTTTCCATTGCCCTACACAATTTGTTTTAAAAACAGAACGTTTTCGTTACGTTTAAGTAGAGAATCGCATGCGGAAATATGGTCAAGAAGGTTTTTTCGCTTATGTGGAACCCAAACATCAAAGTGATTAACATACCAAGCTGGTGCAAATTATTTTCAACGCTTGATTTGGATATTTTCAGTATGTCGGCTATCTCCCATGTGGTGTAACATTGATTGTTCTCAATTAATGTCTCTACTTGATTGCTATCAATTTTAACTGATTTACCCAACTGTGGAGCATCATCCAGTGTGAAATCTCCAGCACGAAACTTCGCAAACCACTTTTGTCACGTTCGATCAGTCACAGCACCTTCTCTATACACTACACAAACCTTTTTTTTGCATTTCAGTTGTGTTTTTACTTTTCTGGAAATAATAAGGCATAATATGCCGAAAATGTTGCTTCTTTTCTTCCATCTTCAGTATCAAAATGACTACACAAAAATTCACCAATTTTGATTTTTTTAAAAAATGTACTCTGATACGACAGGTATCACAATACAATCTAACAAAATTGTTTCGAATGAAGTTAAAGACAACTGAGCGCACTAGAACCATCTTACAGAAAAAAACGAACTTTTTGGCCAACCCAAAAGAATACATAAAGAACTTTGAAAACTCAACAGCAAAAAAACCCAAACAATCAAATCATAAAATGGGCAAAAGACATGAACAGACATTCACTGAAGAGGATACACAGATGGCAAATAAACATGATTTTCTATTAAGGAAATTCAAATAAAAACTATAATGGGGCTTCCCTGGTGGCGCAGTGGTTGAGAGTCCGCCTGCCGATGCAGGGGACGCAGGTTCGTGTCCTGGTCTGGGAAGATCCCACATGCTGCGAAGCGACTGGGCCCGTGAGCCATGGCCACTGAGCCTGTGCGACCGGAGCCTGTGCTCTGCAACGGGAGAGGCCACAACACTGAGAGGCCCACATACCGCAAAAAAAAAAAAAAAAAAAAAAAAAAAAAAAAAAAAAAAAAAACTATAATGAAATATCACTACCCACCTATCAGAATGGTTAAAATGAAAAACTGATAACACCAAGTGCTGACTAGGATTCAGTGAAATGCATCATTCATACACTGCTAGTGTTTGGCAGTTCCTTTCAAAACTAAAAATGAGCTTACCTTACGACCCAGCAATTGCATACTTGAGCTTTATCCCAGACTTATTTTCAAGTACAAACTTTTACATGAATGTAAGGAACATATATATATATATATATATATGTTTACATATGTGTGTATATATATATTCCTTACATTCATGTTATACATATATATATATATATATATATATATATATGATATAAGAAAAAAGCCAATCTCAAAAGGATATATACTGCAGGATTCCATTTATGTAACTTCATGAAATAACATAGTTATATAGATGTAGAATAGATTAATGGTTACCAAGAGTTAGAAATAAGGGAGAAAGGGATGGGTGTAGCTATAAAGAGATAATAGGAGGGAGTCTTGTGGTGATGGTACTATCTATTTTGATTGTTGTAGTGGTGATACAAGGCTATATATGATAAAACTACACAGAGCTATACATACGCACAGAAACACACATACAAATAAGTGTGTATATAAGTAGTGAAATCTGAGTAACTTCTATGGATTATACCAATGTTAATTTTTCAGTATGATACTGTACTATAGTTGCGTAAGATGTTAACACTGGGAGAGGCTGGAGGAAGGGTACATGGAACTTCCCTGTACATTTCTTTGCAATCTCCTGTGAATCTGTAACTATTTCAAGGTAAAAAACTTTTAAAAAGAAATCACCACACCATATATGCAAAAGGAAAGGCCTGGCCAGGTATCAAAAATTAGTAAAAAGAATAACATCTTACATGAAAGCAAAACATTTAGGAAAGTATATATCATTTTTCCATGTTTCACCTCTGTATTAGTTTTTTAGAGTCAACCTAACAGTGTACCACAAACTAGGTGGCTTAAAACAACAGAAATATACTCTTTTCATAGCTCTGGAGTACTATGAGTTACAGACTCATCAAAGACCTCTAATTCAGAGGTCCCCAAACTTTTTGGCACCAGAGACTGGTTTTGTGGAAGACAATTTTTCCCTGGGGGCGGTGGGGGATGGTTCAGGCAGTAATGCAAGCAATGGGGAGCGACAGATGAAGCTTTGCTCACTTTCCCACTGCTCACCTCCTGCTGTGCAGCCTGATTCCTAACAGGCCATGGACCAGTACTGGTCCATCAAAAGATGCAATCAACAGAGCTCAACCCCCGCAGCCCAGGGGTTGGGGACCCCTGCTCTAACTTGTGGAATGAACCTGCTATTAGCCTTCAGGACCCTATACTTTCCTAGGGTCCTACTCCTTCCTTTCTAATCATCCCTCTACCATCTCCATCTCCTCAATGTAGTCATTTGCTTTAATTTTCACAATTTTTAATCAATTAATTTTTCCTAAATATTTTATTAGAAAATATATTCATGTTCTCGATCCACTACTAGCTTAAAAATGTCTTTATAACATTTAAATAATGTATTCTCATCACCTAGCAAAGCAACTTGTATGAATTTTTTTTTTAATTAATACTCTGTTGATTGCATCTTTTGATGAACAGAAGTTTTTTAAGTTTGATGTACTCCCATTTGTCTACTTTTGCTGTGCCTTGGTATCATAGCCCAGAAATTACTGCCAAATCCAATGTCATGAAGTTTTTCCCCTATATTTTCTTCTAGGTGTCTTATAGTTTGGGGTCTTAGATTTAGTTCTTTGATCCCCTTTGAGTTAATTTTTGTATATGGCATAAGGAATTTTATTCCTTTGCATGTGGGTATCCAGTTTCCCCAACACCATTTGTTAAGAGTACGGCCCTTTCCCCCATAGAATGGTCTTGGCACTCTTACCTAAAATCATTTTGTCATATATCTGAGGGTTTATTTCTAGACTCTCTATTCTATTCCACTCATCTGTATGTCTGTCTTTATGCCAGTACCACATTGTTTGATTACTGTAACACTGCAATAAGTTTTGAATTCAGATTTTCCCTAATTATTCTGTCTAATACAACTTTACATTAACCTTATAACCTTAATATAACCAAAATTCTTACCAGTTGGTCTACTCCTCACAACAACTTTCTGCTTCCTGATTATAGCTCACTCACCTGGGAACTGTTCTCCTATCACTTCCCTCATAACCATCCAGGGCTCCTTCCCTTGCTCCAATGAGGAGATCACAGCTGGCTTAGAAATAGAAAGTCCTGGTTATAAGAAAAGAAATGGAAATGAGGTGGAAATGAAAGTATTCAAATATTGTGTTTCAGAATTTACTTTAAAAAACCTATAGGACAAGATGGTACTCGATAAGGTCTAGAGAAGAAAGAAAAGTCAATTTCTCATATACAGGTAAACTCAGGATCATAAGAAACAAAACAAACAAATAGATGGTAAAATGCTATTTAAGTTATATAAGCTTTCACTCCTTATTTTCCTTTGAGAAAAAAAGGAGTTTCCTGAAATACTTATTCTCAGATACTTTTCCATGTTAAATGTAAAGTTCTTAGAATGTAACTTCCAAATGCAAATTGTTTACATTTGTTGCAGTAAATAGAACAGTGTTCATTTGAGCTGTAAATATAAATGACTTTTCTTGACTCAGTCCATTACTACACTAATTGGGAAGGCTAAAGAGCTTTGCAACCAGGACCCATGTGCTTAGTTTTATCTACACTAGTGTATCTGCACATTTAGCACAGTGCAAGTGAAACAAAAGACAAAGCCTGGTTTCTTTGACTATGTTATGCTTTAATGGTACAGAATTTCAATTCTGCTCCTTAATTTTCAAGGAAGAAAGTCAATTATAAGAAAGGACCAGAGTAAGATGTGAGGATAGAGAAAATGAAGGTGCAACTCCACTTGGCGGTGCTCATTTCTACACAAAGAGAAAATTCATCTAGTTATTTGAAAGGTAGCCCTAAAATTCATAGTGGAGAAAGCAGAAATTCCAAGAAACAGATTCTGAATTATTAGAGGCAGATAACTTTACCCAGTGAAACCAAGTTGCTATAGTTCTCCAACATCACATCTTTGTACAAATTCCGCTGTGCAGGGTTCAGGCATTCCCATTCCTCCTGAGAGACATCTATAGCCACATCTTTGAACATCACCAACCCCTAAAATGACAAATCACAGTACTGTTTTTGAAATTATAAGAAACATTTTTCAAAAGGAAGAAGCACTGCTAAAAGAAGGCATTGCAGGAAAGGGATGGTACAGCGAGTATATAGGCTAAGGCTGGAAGCTTGTATGGGTCAAAAATAAATATAGTGAGACTAACGCAGAGTGCCCACATACTCTTAAACAATTCAATTTCTGCACACACATCCTCTAGCATAGAGTGGAAAACTTCTGTTAATCACTCATCTAGAAATTTAGAAAATAAATAGAGGTTCCCAACTAAGTTAAATAGTTGTAAATTTTTCCAAAATTTCTTATGAAAATCTCCATCTTCAGAAAAAGGACCTGATGATTTTTCTTCCTCATTATGACTAAGCATTTTTACTTTTAATGCAAATTCTTTAGTAAACACACAGTACAGACTGTATTTTCCAAAGATGGACAGAGCACATCTCCCTTTCATAACCTTTATATGCCCCACTCACTAGCAGGCCAGTAGCAGCTTTGGGCCCTGCAGCGAACCATGTCAGGAACTGGTCCCATCCACCAGCATGCCGACACCAGATATGGGACCCTCAGCCCCACAACCACCCACTCCAGAACCTGGCTCCACCCACCAGTGGGCCCCACTGCCAGCAGTCTCGTGATCCAGCTCTGCCAACCAGTGCCCATCAGCCTCTGCATAAGACAGGACCTGGCAGACAACTAGACCAGGAGCCAGCCACACCTACCAGACTGCCCATAGTAGTCAGCCCACCACAACAGAAGGACCCACGCAGCCCAAATATGGGGCACTCCTGGACTATATAGCTCTAGTGCCCAGAGGGGAGAGCACTGCTGGGACACAGAGGACGTCTCCTACAAAAGGCCACTTCTCCAAGGTTGGGAAAGGTAACCAATCTATCAGAAACACAGAAATAAAAACAGCCAACTGGGCAAAATGAGGTGACAGAGAAACATCTTCCAAATGAAGGAACAAGATAAGACCCCAGAAGAAGAACTCAGTGAAGTGGAGGTAGGCAATCTACCCTATAGAGAGTTCAAGGTAACGATTGTAAAGATGTTCAAAGAATTCATGAGAAGATTGGATAAACAGAGTGATAAGCAATAAGTTACATACAAGGGAACTCCCATAAGGCTATCAGCTGACTTTTCAGCAGAAACTCTGCAGTCCAGAAGGGAGTGGCATGATATATTTAAAGTGATGAAAGGAAAAAACCTAACCCAGAGTACTCTACCTGGCAAGGCTTTCATTCAGTTTGATGGAGAGATCAAAAGCTTTACAAACAAACAAAAGCTAAAAGAGCTTGGCACCACCAAACCAGCTTTACAAAAAATGTTTCTCCAAGTGAAAAAGAAAAGGCCACAACTAGAAACATGAAAATTACAGAAGGAAAAATCTCATCTGTAAAGGCAAATATACAATAAAGATAGTAAATTAGCCATGAAGCTAGTAGGAAGGTTAAAAGACAAAAGTAGTAAAATAATCTATATCTGCATTAAGTAGTTAAGGGATATATATGCAAAACAAAAATATGTAAAATATGATAAAAACAGGAAAAGTTGGGGAGGGTGTAAAACATGCAGAGTTGTTAAAATGCATTTGAACTTGAGAAATCAGTAACCTAAAATAATGAGAGAAAGAGAGAGAGAGAGAGAGAGAGATGGAGGAAGAAAGAAAGACTGCTATGTACAGTGTGGGGAATATAGTAGATAACTGTAATATTCTTCTATGGTGACATACCATAACTAGACTTATCATGGTGATCATTTTGAAATGTATAAAAATACGAAGTCACTATGTTGTGTAACAGAAGCTAACAGTGTTGTTAGGTCAGTTATACTTCAAAAACAAACAAATTCATAGAGAAAGAGATCAGATTTGCAGTTAACAGAGGCAGGGGGTGGGGAGGGGGATTGGATAAAGGTGGTTAAAAGATACAAACTTCCAGTTATAAGATAAATAAGTGCTAGGGATGTAATGTACAACATGATACATATAATTAACACTGCTGAACGTTATTTATGAAAGTTGTTAAGAGAGTGAATCCTAAGAGTTCCCACAAGAAAAAGAATTTTTTCTATTTCTTTATTTTTGTATCTACATGAGATGAAGGATTTTACTAACTTTATTGTGATAATCATTTCATATGTATGTCAAATCATTATGTTGTACACCTTAAACTTAAACAGTGCTGTATGTAAATTATATCTCAATAAAACAGGAAGAAAAAAATGCTGAAAGAAAGCTGTCAGGCTATAATTCTATTTCCAATTAAAATCCTTCAAAATGAAGGGAAATAAAGCCTTGGAGTTTTATTTTTGTTGCTGCTTTTTTTTTTTTTTTTTTTTTTTTTCGG